CAGAAAGTCATGGTAAACACCTATTTATTTAGATATTTTATGACCAAATGGAAGGTTTTTTTTATATCAAAACTATTCTATATAGTTACAAGTCTTGTTTAAGTGTTCCAGACATTGTTTTATCCATTCATTCCGTTTGACCAGTGTAGTATAGTTGGTACGTTTTTGCATGATTTGCAGAGGATGTTTGACACTGTTCACTATTGCACACTGTCTATAGCGTTGGCCTCATTCACAAAGCTTTAAGCTTGTTTCAGTCTTACATTCCTGATATATGTTTCAATTAGTTAATATATCTGGTGATTTAGTCAGGCCTTAGACAAGTGTGGTGTACCACAAGGATATATCCTCAGGCCCTTCAATTTAAATGTATGTAAATTGCGTGCCGTTGTCTATATAAGCTTTTATTACTGGTATATGCTGGTGATTAATAATTCTTGTGATTGAAAAAGATAAGTTTCAGATTGAGAATCATTAAGCCGGAATATGTAAGTGATTGGCTTGTTGAAAACAAGTGTCATTGCACCTCGGAAAAACTGAATCAATTCAAAGTTAAGGTCTCATTCATGTTTGGATATTCGCTGTAATGACAATAGTATCGTGATTATGAAATCATCAAATATCTTTATATTATCTTTGATCATAGTATGTCCTCTAACAGTTTCGCAAAGACTTTTATTTCAAAAGCAAATACCCATTTAAAATTCTTGTGTATGGAAAAGTATGAGTCTTTACTAGTCATACAGGAAATTTTGTGATATCTTACCTTATGGCAAAGCATCTTATGAAAATCTATAAGAAGCACTTTATCCCTTAAGTTTTGGTGTGTTTGTTCTTTTTATAGTGCCTTGTTTCAGTTTTTTACAATATGCAACACAAACATATGTTAACAAGTCAAGCTTGTTGTGTCATTAACATCAGAAATTTTACTTTTGCAACTTGATTTAGTGCATGAACTCTGTGAGACAGTCAGCACCATCTTTGTTTAATTCTTTCTTTTTTGTTCCTTTTAGCTGTTCCTTTATTGGAAATTTTGCAATACTGTAATGATGGCATTGTGATATTTAGTCTGCGAAATATAATATGTTATACCGCATTGATTTCTACACAGGAATAACATTACGTTACGCATAATTTTATATGTTATCTTCTCTCTGTAAATATATTGTAAGTTAATGTTATGTAAATGATGTATTAGTAAACAATAATAGAAACAATGTATAAATCATTTGTGTCATTAATAATTTACTTAGTATTATTTACATATTTTCTGTTTGCATACATACAGATACAAGAGAAAAAAAAGATAATTACAGTACATACAATTAGCAACGCGCATAGCAATGCACTATATCACAACTTTGTGTTGGTCTCTGCAATACTCACCATATATTTAAGCGAAATAACAAGGACAAAGACCAGCCGAAAAACTCGTCACTAAGATAACAACTGTTATTCAGTTCCTCGTATAAAGCGCAACATATACGAAAAATATTACTCATTTCACATAATATCTTTGTGTTTCTTACAGATCTGATCATATTAAACTCGTACTTGCTGATTTCCTAATTTCAGCACGAAATTTATCAAATCTGACAGTTTTGTCTTTTCCAAAAAAATACACATTTCTAAAACGTTTTGAATGGCAAAATCACGACAGTATTTCTTCTCTGTACTAATTCAACCATTTTTAGATCACATTGACCAAAAAAGATAGAGTAGGCTTTTATTTTGAATTTTTAAATGTAATTTGATACTAACTGTTATTGGCGCTCATTTTTGGCGATGTTGAGTGACCTTTTGACATTCTCTTTTATCCAAGTTATATCGCAATTGATATTATAAAGTTATATAAATATTTCAGTCACAATATAGAATTTGGTAATCGTAAATCTTAATAAATTTTGGTCAAAGAATTACAAGATATTGTGCTTAATTTGAAAAACAAGATCGAAACTGTATTTGTTTAAAATATTTACTTAATTAAATCTCCAATGTATTATATAAATGATATATGGTTTGTTTTTTTGTTGTTTTTTTTTGTTTTTTGTTTGTTGCTGCTGCTACTGCTGTTGTTGTTGTAATGTAAGTCTAAACCCGGAAATAACACTTCTCATTTGAAAAGTGTTGATGTGCAGTAAGCAGTTCCACATGATCTTTATGTTGCGGTTTTCATGTCTGAGTGTCGAGTACGATTTATTATACAGAATAATACAAGTACAAGGTTGGACGAAATGTGATATTCCCTTCTTTTTTAAGTTGTGAAGCAGAAAACTGTTTTGAACGCTGTATATCAAATAAAAAACTGCTTTCAGTGCGAACATATGGCACTATGCCAATTCAGGGGTTTCACAGGTTAAAGACAAACGTAGTTTCCATTTTGCCATACTTTTTTTTCAATTTTATAATTTACTTCGCATGGACCAAATAATGAATGAAAAATAACTCACAGTGCCCATGGAAATTTCCTGTAAATACGCATCGCAATTTACCTGTTACATTCAATTTACAACAAGATTCGGGCAGTCTTTTCATATTTCTTATAATTCATTCTAAACATTTTCCAATATCAACTGTTGATCAGTCACCATTATGATTGTCAATCTTTTGAAATATATAGTCAATTCAGCTCTACTTAACAATGACAAAAATGAGCATAATGTCTCTTTAAACAGTTGATAATAAATAAAGGAATAAGTTACATAAAATAGCTTTAAGGATTTTGATAAAAGGTAGTCTACAACTGGTTTCAAGTTTTTGAACGAGATGCTCTTATTGATGTAGGCATGCTTACTCATAAGAAAATCTATCAAATGTACCCTTTAGTCTCACAAAATACTGAATTTAAAGGTCCATTAACTAGAAATGCTATATTTTTTATTTCTCAAGGACTTTTTGTTGTTGGTATCTCGCTACAGCCCCCCTACCCACCCCCTAAAAAGAAAAACAACAAATAGATTAACTTTTTTGCAATTGATGTATTATGGTGATTAAGTATTTTGTATGGAAGTAAAAATATTACTTTGTTAACAGTTTGCTACAATAACGACACAATATTGCATGTTCAGGGATACTTCCTTCAGTATATATCTAACATGCTCTAAATCCATTATTAAAACATTATGAAACACATGTATGACTAATCTAAAGTAAATTTGAAAAGATATTGATTTCCGAGAAATAATGTGCTTTTAAGGGATTCAAAGAATATATGTGTTGAATAAGTAAAATATTTAGTCTAGATATTATTGAATCTCGAATGAAAGTTCCTTAACCACTATGTTACTGTACCGCACCTACCCCCTTCATATAGCATAGTTATTAGATAATTACTATCACACTACTTTGAAAACAAATAAATAATGTCATGATTCAAATAAAGTGATAGTTTCGCAATCAAAGTATCTAAGTTAACGTTGCCTTAACAAAGATTTATTATTAAAGTCAGTAATACTTAATAAGTAGTTGTATCATTTTTTCAGTTGCGTATATGTGTATGAACATTGAAGCGACAGGTCAAACTGTTTATATCGATACAACAAAAGCAAAGGCAACAGATAATTCATCTGGGCTCCTCTGTACCTGCAATGCTACGGTATCTTATGCGAAATTTGTGACTATCAGGGTTCAGGAAAACGTTGCAACGTGTGGTTCCAAACTCAAATTTGACTTTACAAACAAACAAGTTGAGTCTGATGAGAACAAGTGCCGGTCCACAAAAGAATTGGTACAAATAGAAAATCAACAAGAAGTTATCATGTCGCTTGAGAAAATAAAAACACCGTACAGTGTTGATTTCTGTACAAAAATAGAAATAGGTGAAAAAAATCTCAATATGTATTGCAGATTTATTTATTACTTGACTGGTTTCCTAGCAGTTTCCGTCCCCTAGCAGTTTTCCGGCCGTTTATCATTTTCGTCCAGTAAAGTCTATTTTTTCCAGTGAGGCATCCACATTACTTCATCAATCAGAGAGACATTTGTTTTCCAAGCTAAACATCATTTAAAATAGTAAAACAATTTATATGTTTTGAAGTTTTTCCTGTCATTTAAAGTTAGATAAGATAATTTGCGACTTTCAATAAGCAACACCTGGGGAATTCTAGTTGGAAAATCCATGCACAATAACCAAGACCCCATTTTAGGTAGATCAATACTTCGGAAATATTTTTGCAGACGACACGGAAAAGGTTGGGAAGTTCTGTTTGTTTGATAAAACCATCTTAACATTGCTTTATGGTACTGAATTATATTAAAAATAAAATAGGTCTGGAAAATTGCTATGAATTTTGAATAAAGGTGAAAAGGGTGTTACATTTCAGGCCTATATTAAAATTAAAAAGTAAAATAAAATGTGCAACATTAAACACATGGCAATGCTGAACAGGTACCTAACTTTGTCCTGTCAAAGTTTTGTACCCCTCCAACAACTGATTTTTATTAATAAAATGATAAAGTGCAATTTGTGGCCGGAAACAGCTAGGAAACCAGTTGAGATATGCCATAAATATAAGATTCAATTTAAAAAAGGCCATTTAAACCTACATGTACATGGTGTACATGTATATTATTGCGTGTCATTAGGGAGAATGTTTAGTAAATAATGGTGTTAAAGGTTGGAAATTAAGTTTGAAATGTTTTTACGTCGCATCAACAGTATAGTCCATGCGTGGAGGAAGACCCGAAGTGTCCTTCCGTGAGTTATATTCAGACATGAAAGAGCACCTTAGTAGAACCACCAACGGTCCCTAAGCTAGCCGGATAACTTCTTCGCATGAAAGTATCCAAATTACTGTCGAGATTCGAACCTAAAGCGGCGGGGGGCAGGTGGTTGGAAATCAACGACGTTATCCACTTGGACACATTTTGCATTTTTGTCAATAAACAGTTCATAGGTTTGCCACTTTAAACACGCCTCTCACGAAAGACATCAATACCTTTACATAAATGCAGTAAACAATAGTATTTTATAATGATTACATAGTATCTACTCTCTACAGAACTGTGTGCCAATCCAGATGATTACCAGTGCGACAGTAATGCTGAGTGTATTGCCAAAACAAACGAATGCGACAATTTTCCTGATTGCATTGATTCTGACGATGAAGATCCAAAGAAATGTCAAAACGGTTAATATTTCTTTACCATTAAAATAGTTTTGAAAATGCTCGCAAAACTTTATTTAAACAATATTAAGTATTAATGGCACAATCGTTTGACGCGATTTCCATTGCGTAACTTAATCCCGTTAAGACGTATGTGGCATGTAAGCACCATTGTACAGAACTCGAGTAGGCGTACTGTACATAAGCAATCAGTCAATCTTAATGATTCTGATCACGGTCCTCCTGGAAGTAAATAAACATCGTTATTATTTTATTTTTTCAACTCACGGAAACTTGTTTCAAAATAAGTACATTGAGTGCACTAAGAACGTTTCTTTTACCTTTTGGTAGATGAGCTAAGAAGTTTTTTATTGTCACCGTTTAACCGTGTAAATGTCTTTTAAAAATAGCATGTCTAAATGTGATGATGGTACTGATGAAGAAGGCTGCTGTAATTATGTTGTATAATGATATGAAGGTTTAAACTGTGTTGATGTGGGCTCACGCAATACTTGGGGGTCTTAAGGTTGGATCATGCAATACTAGTACCACATGACAGGTTAAACCAGTCTAAACAATGCAACATTTCAATTTTTGTTGCGTTAGTTAGCGATATAAATTCAATGAACACTTAAACTTTTGTTTTTGAAAATATATCTCGCATGCACGTTTACACTTTAATGCGCTCTTCCTTGGCTTTTTAATCTGTTTTAGGAAACGCAAGCGGATTATTTTACGTAATTAGATGGCAAATTCTTCACATGAACCATTTGAAAAAGGGCTATAGATAAATTATATTTGTTCTATTATTGCTAATTTTACATTAAATTCATATGTAGTTGCCTGAATCCAGTATCATTTAAAGTATAAATCATTAATCTATTTACAGTTCTTGAGCAGGACGTCTTGGATCCATCGACGAAAGGTAAAATGTTCACAAATATCTATATGTATATAGATATTACTACTTATACATATATATTTATGGTGTTTTTAAATAAAATGCAGAATATCCTTATTAATCATTCTCATTCAACAGAGATTCTTTAACCAACAAATTTTATTTGTTCAATATAATACTGATTACAGAAGTCCAATTTAGCTTTTTCAGATAAGGAAATTCGATGCGTTTGTACTATATTGAGCCCTAACTATTTTCTAATTATAATCAGTGTTTTAATGTATATCACAATTGTGGGTTCTAATAATGATATTTGTAATTTGAAAGCACAACGCACGGATCCTATAATAAGCATACAATGTTATGAAAGGACCAGATTCTCGACAACAACAACAACTACCACGACAACCATCGCTACCACCACCCCACCCACGACGACAACAGCAACTACAACAACAAGAATGGCGCCAACAACCACTACAACAACAACACAGTCGACGCCAACAACCACTACAACAACAACACATTCGACGCCAATAACCACTACAACAACAACACAGTCGACGCCAACAACTCCTACAACATCTCGAGTTACAACATTGACTCAAATTACAACCAGAAAAACAACAACGAAAACAACACCAACAACAACTTCGACAAGTACTGTTTCTTCATCGAGTATGGAATCGAGTATGGAAGGGGATGAAACGCTAAACAGCATGGAAATAACGACGCAAAATGATTTTAATGGGACAACATCCCATGAAAACAATACTGCACAAGAAGATATTAATAAAGATGAAGATATCTTAACCGCACTCAAAAAACCTTGTAAGGAATTGGTAAATAATTACGCGACAGTGTTTTTTTACTGTCAAATTGGTACAAAAATGCTCGTACATATAATGTATAACAATGGGAATTTATCGATTATTCTATTCTTGGGACATTTCAATTCTTTGCATGTAACACGATCTTAAACATTTGAAAAATAAGCATTTTAAGATAGAGAGCATTTTCAGAGAAAATAGAAGAAATTATCAAGAGACGTCAGAGAATTATGACAATTTTTAATGAAATGTTTTGTTTGATATATTTTCTTTTGATAATGGCTTCTTTTTATGGGACTTTCAGAGTACAAATGATACATTGTGCACTCTCTCTCTATATACATTTATATTATCATGAGACTTTTTAATGCTGATAGAACTTAATACACGGTTTATCATTTTCCTGATTAAAGTGTCATGAATTTGTTTAGAGATTTTATATACACACCTGGAAATAAGTAGAGCACACCCCGGAAATTTAAAATTGGTTGTAACTGAAAGCACTGTCGTGAGATGAGATGACGACTTCATTGAGCTATGAAATAGTTATCATAAACCAGTAAATTTATGTTTAGTTTAATCTTAACCAAATTATTGCTTCAATAAAGCAAATATGTTGTGTTTTTTTTACCACAAATGTAAGTGTTTATAGGTATGGTATTGACGATTACGTACCTAAAATGACATTATGTAGCCAAACTTTTAATAACGAAAAATAGCCTCAACCCCTCTTCTCTTACTTTCAGTAAGGCGTCAAATGCAAACGCGATTTTGACGTAAATTTTGCCATTCTTGATGCAGAGCTTGTTCTAGGTGTGCAGGTTGACAACAGGTGGTTCGTACCATTGTCTAAATAAAATTTAATATTTCCGTTGTGGTCATATCAAAACTGAGGCAAAATACCGGGTGTGTTTTATTTATTTCCAGGTGTATAGCTTGTTTTATTTTACAACTTGTCATTGCAGATGCTATAGCCGGAATGGTAGTTGGTGCTTTGGTCCTTATAACTGTCACAACATGCCTAGTTTTAGCAGTGAGGCGAAAACAGAAAAAGTATTTATAGATCATTTTATGCATCCGTAAATTGTAGCCATGCTCCCCCATCCTGCTCTCCACTCGTTACTTAACTCGTGGGGCATAAATCAAGTTTCCGATAAAAGCTGTCCCACTGCTTTAGTCGCAGGCGTCTCTTTTATGGCGTCCTGTATTTAATTTTTCAAACGTGCGGTCTCCTATTACTGCGCTTTAGTTCTATAGGAACAATATTATCCCGATCCTTTCTATATAAAACATAGAGAAATTAAGAATCAACAGGTCAAAATTGAAAATGTTGCAGGATCGGTTTGATTTAGCCTGTTCATGGACGATAATTTCATGTACAAACTACCGTCCACACCTCTAGCACCGGCTTAAGCAGAATTCAACATTTAAACATGAAATGGTAAATTTTGAATTTAGAAACATCCGCAGATGTGTTCATACGGCGGTTATCATGGAACCTTCAATGTGACACAGCAGTGCCATTCCATGAAAAGCGGCGTATGGTCCCCAAGTAATCAAAAGCGTGTGCCCTAAACGAGAAAACAATGGGCGGAACTGAACAAAATGGATCAGAAGTTATAAAGACTTACTTATTTCTGTTTAAATTTTCTTACAGTATCTTAATGATTGTTTAAATTGCGTTAAAAATATAAAAAACAACTTTCTTTTAATTTCACGAGAAATGCAGTACATTCATTTGTTGTGTCCTTAAAAACAAACTGCAAATCACTGTGGAACACAATTTAAAATAAAGATGCGCATATATTTTAAATACTCTACGGTTGAATAAAAATGTGTATTTTGAAATGCAGCATTGTAATTTGAGGCATAAACATTTTGAAATTCTCGGCATACATATTGTAAAAAAGAGCTTCTTTTTTTCTTTTCAGATCTGATTCTGAAGACATAACAAACGATATGTGGATTTCTGGTAAAGATTTTGGGAAAGACATTGAACCGCTGAACACGTGAAGCTTATGTGACTGACAATTTGTGTTTATTAAGTAGTTTAGTGAAATGTTACCATTTTTTTTACACGGTAATTTGGTGGAGATTTGTAGGAGATTTGTGCTTTAAAGTTTTTGTGCTTTTATGCTTGATAACTTTGTGTTTTCGCTGAATTGACTACATTAATATTTAGACAAGAGGACCATGATGGCCCTGAAATCGCTCATCTGAATACGAAACCTCTCCATGACAAGGAACAAGTAATATTGTAAACTTACTATAAACAAAAGCAGATGTGAAATCTAAATCTTAAACTGATATCACAAAGTTCATATTTGTATCTGAAATAGAATATGTTTAAAAATATTACTGGTTGCTATTGCTTAGGGAAAACAACAGTTCCAAAAGATGTGTACATAACAGGAAATTCAATGAACCCTGGGGCGGCATCAATTTTTACCCCAAGGCTTTTATTTGAGCAAGCTTGATCGACAATCACTAGAAGATGTTTCATGCTAAATATCTAATTGTTAGTTATTTGGGCTTTTTTGTAGTTTTTATTATATGCATATAAGGAATATTAATTATCCGCTATGTCGAGGCCAATTTTGACCCTAGGGCTTTTGTTTTGATTAACCACATAGACCCTCACTAGAAGATGTTTTATGTCCAAAATCTTAGCTCTAGCTCTTTTGAGTATTTATAAGAAGTTTTTTTATTATATACATAGAAGGAGAATAAATGAACCCCTGGGGCGGGGCCAAATTTAACCCCTGGGATTTTATTTGAACAAATGTGATATACACCTATTCGATGATTTTCATGCTCAATATCTAAGCTGTAGCTCTTTGGGATTTTTACAAGAAGATTATTATTTTGGTTTTCTGCAACCTGATGGAATAATTTATCAAGACCATAGCATCAAACTAAAGGGAAATAATAAACCAATATTTACAAACCAAAATTTGCATTGAATATATCAACTAAATTAAGTCCTCGTTTTCTATTGCTAAGAATTAACTACATTTGTTATGAAATTACAGCCTCCCTATTATCCCAGATTCAATCGTGTCTTTTCGAAATAATAGGGTGTACTGTCCCATCGCATGATGTTATAAACCTTCATTGATAAATCATTTTCTTGTACAGAATATATTGCTTTAAACAATTTGAAAAGAAAAGAAAAGATAAAATTTCAGCCCGTTAGGATATATCCGGATATCCGTAACACATTAAAATGAGTTTAAAACAAGACAGCGCTCTGTATTTATCATGGTATAATATTGAATTATGATAAAACATTA